AGGCCACAGGGAGTCGGCGGCCGGAGAGACCGTTTGGGGGAGAGAAGCCTCCGGCATGGAGCCGGGCCCCCGGGGTCACCCACCCGGGCCGTGAGGCCAAATGGGGGAGGGCCCTGACCCAGAGCCCGAATCCGCCAGCATGCTCCTTGGCGGCCTGGCAGCCGTGCCTGCCTCCTACCTGCCAAGTGGGGGTGTTACTAGCGCCCCATTCTCAGAGGGTGAGATACATGAGCGCCCAGATCTGCTGACCATCCTGTAGCTCCCTGCAGAGGAGGAGCCCTGGGTGGAGGGCCTGGGGGCCTGGCCCCAAGGGAGGCGGGTAGGTCCACGCAGGCCATGTGCCAACGCCAGGGTCACTCCTCGGGAGCAGCCTGGTTGAGGGGGGAGGGAGCAGTGCCGGGGGAATGGGAGAAGCTTCCAGAAAGCAGGCTGCTCGGCTGAGCAAGTCTCCCTCCACTGTCAGGCACAGCAGAGGCCTGTCCTCAGGAACCCCTACCACTTCCCCAAGCCAGCCTGGCCCTCCAGCTGGGCACTGCCCTCTGGCTGGGCACTGCCCTCCGTGCTGGGCACTGCCCTCCAGGAAGGCGGTCAGCAGAGGTGTGTGCCTGGGGCCAGCACAGAGCCTGGCAGAGGGGGCCGGAGCGCTCCCAGGACAAGGGGCTGCTGAGAAAGCAGTGCGCGCCCCGGCCGCGGGGCGTGCCAGCACAGGCGGGGGCGGGGGTGGGGGTGGGGGCTGAGGGCGGTACACCGTGACCCCATCAGCCAGGACACGATGCCAGCGACCGCTCCAGCGGGTCCTCCCTGCCGCGCGGGGCTCGCCGCCCGCAGTGCGAGGCTGAGCTTTTATTGGGATGTTTGTCTTCTGAAGTAAGTGCGCTGTCAGGGCGAGCTCCACAGGAGAGACGCAGAGAACCTCCGCAGCCGCCCCCACGCTGCGCCTCCCATGGTCCCATGAGCGGTCCCAGGGCCCTCAGGCAAGGTGTCATCCTCCCGCCCCCCGAGCCCCCGGCCAGCTCTGCAGACAGGCAGCCCAGTGGGAGCGGGTCACAGGCCAGCCGTGGGAGCTGCACCCAGGTTCTGCTTCCATAGTCCTCCCAGCGGCCCCTGCCAGCCTGCCGGAGACACAGCCAGCGGGACCCCGGTGCCTCATGACTCAGCAGCCGAGACGGGCCTGCGATGACACGATGTGACAGAGCCACCCAAGGCTGGCGCCCGGAGACGCCCGTTAGTCTGTTTTCTGAACAACGGGACGAATGAGGGGCTGGGCACGGGTGAGGCCGGGCCGGGGAGGGGTCTGGGCGCAGCAGGTCCCGGCAGGGGGGGCGATGGTGACGGGTGGGGAAGGCAGGGACCGTCAGAAGGCCGAGCGACAGCTACGGCCACGACCGGGGAGGCGAGCTTGAACCCCTGCAGGCCTCGCTGAGACACGCTGACCCCTCGCTAACCCGTCACAGCATCGCAGAGGCAGAGGCAGAGGCAGAGGCAGGGGCAGGGGCAGGGGCAGGGGCAGAGGCAGGGGCAGGGGCAGGGGCAGGGGCAGGGGCAGGGGCAGGGGCAGAGGCAGGGGCAGGGGCAGGGGCAGGGGCAGGGGCAGGGGCAGGGGCAGGGGCAGGGGCAGGGGCAGGAGCAGAGGCAGAGGCAGGGGCAGGGGCAGGAGAGAGGCAGGGGCAGAGGCAGAGGCAGGGGCAGGGGCAGGGGCAGGGGCAGGGGCAGTCCTCGGAGCAGCTGCCTGCAGAGGGCTCAGCCAGCGCCGCAGGCCTCCGTGGTGCCAGGTCCATCAGCGCGATCGATCCCGCAGTGGGTCAGCCTGTGGGGCAGGAACCAGAGCCGCCTGGCGCCGGTCCGGCCGAGCTGCCACAGACGGGCAGTTCCGGGATCCTCCGGGGAGGGGAGAGAGGAGCTCCCTGCCTCCTCTGTGAAGGTGACATTTTAAGTAACCGTGGGGATCCCTGCTCGCAGGCCTCTCCGCGTGGCGGCTGGCGCTGGCGCTGGCTTCCTCCCTCAGAGGTCGGCTCCCTGAGGCAGCGTCCGCCCCTGCCCCGGAGGCGCCAGCCAAGCTGGATGGCAGACCAGACACGCGCCCACCTCCAGGAGCGAGCAGCCAAGTGGGGGCAGAGCTGGCATGGATCACAGAACCAGCCTGTCCAACACCCCACCCTGCAGACGGCAACACTGAGGCCTGGGAGGGCAGGAGCGCCCCCCGCGGCCAGACTGCAAAGCAGAGCGGGAGCCGCGCTCCACCCAACACTCCTGCCTCGTGGGACAGAGGCCGGGCCTTCTGGGCCCTGCATCCGCACAGCGCAGGCTCCGGGGCGCTGAGGCCCAGGGCAGCAGCAGCACGCAGGCTCCCACTGGCCGTGGTGCCCGCCCTCTGCTACACACCGAGGTGGTCCCGGGAGCTGGGCGCGGGCGGTACCAGGCAGTGGGGCAGGGACACCCCCCTCCCCAACTTGGGAAGGGGCCACCACGGCACAGACCGAGGCCTGAAACCATGCAGACAGCCACAGGGCTCCAGGCCTGGGCGAGCAGCCAGAGTCCCTGAACAAGCCAGAGAGCAGGCAGAGGGTGAGGCGGGCGGCCGGGAGGAGCAGCCCACAGCGGGCGACAAAAATACTCCCTGAGCGGAGGGTGAGCGAGGCCCCTGTGGGCGTGTGTACATGCATGTGAGGACAAGCATGTGTGTGCATGCATGTATGTGGGTCAAGACAAGCACCCGTGTGTGCATGCAAGTATGTGTGGATGAGCACCTGAGTGCATGCATGTATGTAGGGATAAACACCTGTGTGTGCATGCATGTGTGTGGGGGTGAGGACCTATGTGTATGTGCATACATGTGTGGGATGAAATGAGTGCATGTGTATGCACACAGATGTGTGAGGACATGAGCATATGCATGCATTCATGTGCGTGGATAAGATGAGCACATGTGTGTGCATGCACATGCATACGTGTGGTGATGAGATGAACACATGTGTGCACATGTGTGCATGAACTTGTGTGAGGACAAGATGATCACGTGTGTACGTGCATGTGGGGACAAGATGAGCGTGTGTGTGCGTGTGTGCGCATGCAGGCAGGAGCCCCAAAGCCCGGCCTGGGCCACTCCACACGACTCCTTGGGGATTAGCTCTCCTCCAGCCCTTTGCCCGGGACCCACAGGAGAGGCACTTCCTCGGCTGCACCGGTCCCGCCAAGCAGGTGCCAGCAGCTCGCCGTCAAAAGGCCGGCCGGCCGGGCGTCCCCAGGGCTGGTCCGGGGCCGGCCAGGCCCTCCAGACGCCCCGGGCTGGCCTGGCTGGGGAGCCGCCTCCTGGGCTGGGAGGTCCCGTCTGCGCCGGCCCGGTGCTCGGCGTGCTTCTCCCTCCATCCCTCGTGCTGCTGCCCTTGCCGTGAGCGTGTGCGGGGTCACGTGGAACCAGGATGTCCCTGTGCCCTCCTCACGGCCAGAGGCCTCCTGGTCTGGAGGCCGCCTCACGGCAGGCTGGGTGTTGGGAGAGGGCACCCCAGACCTGCAGCAGATGGCTGCCACCTCCCTCCTCTGGCTCCTTGTGCCCCCAAGATGAAGCCCCTCCCACCCCAGCGAGCACGGCCCACGGGGGCCCTCACCTCCCATAACTCCCATAACTCCCCTCCAGTCTCCAAACGCAGGTCAAAGGTCACTTCCTCAGGAAGCCTTCCCAGATGCTGCGGGCATTCACCGCACCCACCTCAGTGTGTGCCAAGCAGGGGCACAGTGCCGACCCTGCTGGTGCCCGGGCGAGCTGGTGATGGCGGGCACGGGGTGTGCGGGTCTTCCCTGCAAAGTGCCCCCAGAGTGCTCGGGCCAGTGGCACCCCGGGGCCTCCAGTACCAGGGGCACCTTTCACCAGGACGGTGGCCCTCTGCCTGCCCCGGGCATGCATGCCGGCGGCAGGCCCACCACCTGCGCTGTCCGGTCTGCCCCATCCCCGGCTTGACTCCCCCCTCCTCTGCGTCACGTGGTTAACGAGGCTCCCTGTGGGCATCTCTGCTGAGACCACTGGGCTCTCCTGCCTAAGGCCCTTCGCGCCCCGGAGAGCTCAGAGAAGAGGGAATCCGCCTGCAAACCATGCCCATTCCTGGGCCTCACTGGGGTCAGGGGTTGCTTGCACTCCTCCCTGCCAGGCCAGGTACCCCACCCTCCCTGACGGCCCCCTCCCATCGGAGAGGGAGAGCAGCAGCCTGGGTGCGGTCAGGTCCGGCAGAAAGGTCCTCCGGAGGCCCCAGCACTCCCCGGCCCCCAAGCCTGTCTCCTTGGAGGCAGGGACCACCCAGCACTGGCCTGGGGTGGGGGGCGGGTGATGACCGTGCACATCGGCGGGTCAATGAACAGGGACGTGGGTCGGGGTGAGCGGGGTTACCCCAACAACTCGCCCCTGAGCCAGCAAGAATGAGAGACAGTCACGGGGCGGTCCCGTTCGGGCGCTGGTCAGCGGCGGGGGTTTCAGGCGCCGGGCTGAGCGGCCACCGTGGCCAGCACGGGCTCCACAGGCACCGCTTCACGCGGGCAGGAGGGGCAGAGGCCGGCCAGGTGGCTCTGCCCGGGAGCTCCGCGCGAGGCGGGGCCGGACCCGCGCTCAGAGGACAAACAGCGAGGGGCTGGCACCGGCCCAGCCAGACCCGCCGGCCGCGCTGCGCGTGTGCGCGCCCGCGTGTGCGTGTGCGGGAGGGGCTGCGGGGCTCCCGGACCCGCCTGACCGGGCACGCCCCGCGCAGGCCGCCGCCCGCCCGGCCCGCAGGCTGCAGACGGCCTGGAGGGGGCGCCCTCGCCGCGCGCGCCCCGCGCCGCCGCCCGACTCCTCCCCGCCGCCGCCGCCGCCGCCGCGCAGGCAGGTTCCCAGCGGCCGCGGCTCCGCTCCGGCCGCTCCCCGGGCGGCGCTGGCGTGGCCGCCCCTGCCCACCGCGCCCGCCCCGCCCGCAACTCTACCAAGTTGGGAGCCGAGCCCGGCGGCCGCACTCGCGCCGGGAGCACAGCGGCCGCGGCGGCGGCGAGGAGGCGGCGGCGGCGGAGCTGGGCGAGCGGCGCGGCGCGGTCTGCGGGGCGCCCGCCCCGGAGCGGCGGGAGGAGGGGCCGGAGCCGGACGCGGCGCGCCGCTCGGGAAAGTAAAGTTGGAGCCGGAGGCCGGGCGTGGGGGCCGGAGGCGCGGCGCAGACCCCTAGCCGGCCGATGGGAGGCGGGGCGCCCGGGCCGCCGCCGCCTGCAGCCTGCGCCGCCGAGGCCCGCCCGCCCGGGTGCCGCGTCGCCGTGGGCTCGCGGCCGGGGCGCTCCCCGTGAGCCGGACCCAGGGCGGGGCCGCTCGGACCCGGGACCGGCCCCCGCCCCCCGCCGCCGCGGCGCCGCCCGCCCCGGCGCCTCCCGCTCCGCACTAGCGCGGCGCTGCGGGAGCCGCGGCCAGCTCTCCTCCCGCCTCTCCTCCCGCCGCCGCCGCCGCCGCCGCCGAGCCAACACGGCCGGGGGCCGGCTGCGGGGCGCCGCGGCTCCCGGGGGGCGCGCCCCAGGAGCAGGCGGCGATGCGGGCGCCGGCCCGGGCCGGCGGGCTCCGGAGCTGCCGCGGCTGCGCCCCGGCTCCGGGCGGGACCGCGTAGCTCGCGGGAGGCCCATGGCGTCCCCGGCGCTGGCCGTGGCGCTGGCGGCGGCGGCGGCGGGGCCCAACGCCAGCGGCGCCCGCGAGGGGGGCGGCGGCGGGGGAGCCGCCAACGCCTCGGGGGGCGCCTGGGGGCCGCCGCCCGGCCAGTACTCGGCGGGCGCCGTGGCGGGGCTGGCGGCCGTGGTGGGCTTCCTCATCGTCTTCACCGTGGTGGGCAACGTGCTGGTGGTGATCGCCGTGCTGACCAGCCGCGCGCTGCGCGCCCCGCAGAACCTCTTCCTGGTGTCGCTGGCCTCGGCGGACATCCTGGTGGCCACGCTGGTCATGCCCTTCTCGCTGGCCAACGAGCTCATGGCCTACTGGTACTTCGGGCAGGTGTGGTGCGGCGTGTACCTGGCGCTGGACGTGCTCTTCTGCACCTCGTCCATCGTGCACCTGTGCGCCATCAGCCTGGACCGCTACTGGTCCGTGACGCGGGCCGTGGAGTACAACCTGCAGCGCACGCCGCGCCGCGTCAAGGCCACCATCGTGGCCGTGTGGCTCGTCTCGGCCGTCATCTCCTTCCCGCCGCTCGTCTCGCTCTACCGCCGGCCCGCCGCCGCCGCCTACCCGCAGTGCGGCCTCAACGACGAGACCTGGTACATCCTGTCGTCCTGCGTGGGCTCCTTCTTCGCGCCCTGCCTCATCATGCTGCTGGTCTACGCGCGCATCTACCGCGTGGCCAAGCGGCGCACGCGCGCGCTCAGCGACAAGCGCCCGGCCGGCCCCGACGGCGCGGCCCCCGCGGAGAACGGGCTGGGGGTGCCGGCGGGCGCGGGCGAGGACGGGCCCTGCGCGCCCCCGCGCCGCCCGCGCGCCGCCCTGGAGCCCGAGGACAGCAGCGCGGCGGCCGAGCGGCGGCGGCGCCGGGGCGCGGTGCGGAGGGGCGGGCGGCGGCGCGCGGGCGGCCCGGCGGGCGAGGGCGAGGGCGGCGCCGAGGCGCTGGCTGCCGGGCCCGCCGCCGCCGCCGAGGAGGGCGCGCTCCCCGCCGCCGCCGCCGCCGCCGCCGCCGCGCGGAGCCCGGGCCCCGGCGGGCGGCCGTCCCGCGCCAGCTCGCGCTCCGTGGAGTTCTTCCTGTCGCGCCGGCGCCGCGCGCGCAGCAGCGTGTGCCGCCGCAAGGTGGCCCAGGCGCGCGAGAAGCGCTTCACCTTCGTGCTGGCCGTGGTGATGGGCGTGTTCGTGCTGTGCTGGTTCCCCTTCTTCTTCAGCTACAGCCTCTACGGCATCTGCCGCCAGGCCTGCCAGGTGCCCGACCCGCTCTTCAAGTTCTTCTTCTGGATCGGCTACTGCAACAGCTCGCTCAACCCGGTCATCTACACGGTGTTCAACCAGGACTTCCGGCGCGCCTTCCAGCACATCCTCTTCCGCCGCAGGCGCAGGGGCTTCAGGCAGTGACTGCGCGCCTGGCGCGGGGACCCCGAGACCCCGGGCGGCTCCGGGGGTAGGGGGCGGGTGGGTGCCGCCCCCAGAGACAGCTGGTTCGATCCCCCGGAGAGCGGAGAGCCGTGAGGGACTGGCCTCCAGGGCGCAGGGCAGGCACCCGGGCTGAATGGACCCAAGCGCCCCCGGGAGAGGGGAGGAGAAAGGGGCGCCCCTCTGCCTCCCCATCTCAGCGAGGGGCTGCTGGTGAGACTGCAGGCCTGGACCCTGCTCAGGGGTCCCGGCCGCGGGGAGCTGTTAGGTCGGGGTTTTAGCCACGCGCACTTGCAACCTTCCAGGCGGTGAGGACGCCCCCAGACGCGCGCCGCCCCGCACCCACTTCCGAGCAAGGGCTGACTTCCCCAGGACCAGGGAGCTGTCTGGGGGCCACTGACCACGTTTGGTAACTGAAAGTATTGAAATGTTTGCCAAAAACGACAACCCCAACCACCAAACTATTTTCTAAATAAACCTTTGTAAGCTAAGCGCTGGGTGCAGCAGTCGGTCCTTAAGCCTGGGCTGGGGGTTGGGGTAACTTCCAGGCTAGCACCTGCCTACCTGCCCCCCCCCCCCCCCCACGGGTGAAGGAGGACACTCCAGGTCCCAGACTCCAACCTGCCCCTTGCACAGAAGTGTGTGTGGAGTGTCTTTTTCCCCCCCTTTTAAACCAAATGCTTTATGCACGTGTAAGGTCTGTGCGCAGAGTGCGTGTGCTGTGACCACCGCGTTGGTTCCCTGTGTAGACCCTGCAGAACTGCCCCTGCGCCCACCAGTGCCTGCCCTGGCCTGGCAGCCCCTCCCAGCGGAAGAAGGGGCATGGCAGCCTGGGCTGTGGGAAGCCCCCCTCCTGCCCTTGAGCGGGGTCCTGTGAAGGACGCAGGTTGCAGACACCTGCCTAGAAGCAGGTCCTGGGGGCTGAGGCCAAGGCAAGCCTCCCAACCTTCTTCCCTTGGTCCACTTCTTACTGTTGTGAACATGGAGGCCCGAAGGCCATGGGGAGGGGCGAGGGCGGCTGGAGCCTGCATGTCCTGCCTACCACCCCCTGCATTTGAGTCAGGCTCCCCCCCACAAGCTCACCCTCAGCCCCAGCCACCCCGTGTCTGTGCACCCTCCCCCCGCCCCCTGCCCCCACTGAGGCTTGAGGGTGGCTAGAAGGAGCCAGTGAAGTAGTAGAGGGGCCCCCATCACGGAGCCTGGAGCTGGGATGGCTGGGGTTGGGGGCAGGAGCAGGACCTGGGGCTACGGGGGAGATCCCTCCGAAACACGGCTCACCTGTGGGCCCCGCTGGTGAGGCTCCTGCCCACTGTGCCCGGCCTTCCTGTGCACCCTCCCCGCCATCCCGGCCAGCTCAGCTCTGTCCGGGTCACCACCCGTCAGTCTGGCCTGGGGGGCCGGGTCTGTCCCCGGGAGGGGTCCGCCCTGGATCCTGCATTCCATCCTCAAGCCCTCGTCCCCTGAAGCGGGGGCCAGGCACACCCCTTTCCCGGGCCGCGTGCCAGCCCTGTCCCTTGGAGAACCCCAACCCCTGTGCAGACCCAGCCTCATCGCCCCAAGTTCTGGGTCCTCTGGATCCGCCGCTGGCGAGTGCTCCCCCACGGTCCACACTGACTCACGTGGGCCCCCCACACCTGTGCTTAGGCTCCAGGACAGGGGCGAGGCCAGACCTGGGGGAGGGGAGGGGCCAGACCTGGGGGAGGGGGAGGAGGGGGCGGCCCACCAGGCCCGTGGGGACAGCTCTGACCGCTCTCCGCTAGGCGGCACCTGAAGGGGGGTCCGTGTGGGAGGCCTGGCTTTGCTGCAGGATCGCTGAGCTCCCCAGCGCCCCCCTGCCCCTCTGCCCCAGTGCCCTCCTGTGAAGTGGGGGCATTGAAATCTGCCAGGCCTGCCAGTCTGTGGGACATGCCAGCGCCTGGAGGCTGTGGGGTGACTCTGAGGGCACTGCGGCCCCTGGTGTGGCCCTTCTGGGTGGGGGGCAGGGACCCCGGTCCGCCACAGGGCAGGTTGCGCTGGGCAGCGTGTCCACACCTGCTCCCTCCCTCCCAGCCCCGGGAATGGCACCCGGGGTGGGGGGCGGTGGCACCTGGTCCCCATTCAGCCACAGCTGTCCCCACTCCACCCTGAGCGCCGCCTGGAGAGGCATTCGGCTGGAAGAGCCTCCAGGCCGGCTCCGCCCACTCTGTGCAGGGACTGGCTGCTGGCTGCTGGGTGCTGACCGCTCCCACTGTGGTCCGGGGGCCAGGTGTCCCCAGGTCCCTGCCGTCCAGAGCGGGGCCCGACCTCTGTCCAGCCGTCTGCGCTGCCGTCTAGCCACACGGTGGCCTCCTCGCCTCTTCACGTCTATTTGGAGACGCCCGTTCCAGCCCCCGGCCTGCGGCTGAGGACCCTGCGGCGGGAGCTGGCCGTGTGGCCCTGGACGGGCAGTGCAGGGGGCAGACTCAGAGTGTCCAGACCCAGCTCCCGCCCCCCGGGTCTCGGCCCCTGGCTTCCGCTGGAGGCTGGACACAGCTGCCTCCTGCCCGGGGCTTCCCCTCGGGGACAGGAGGTTTCAGGCAAAATTAAAACCACCGCCGCCGCCCAGGAGAAGATCCCGGGAGGAGGACGGAGTGGGCAGACTGGCCTGCACCCGAGCCGGCCCAGCCCGCCATGGCGGGGTCAGCAGGGTGGACACGCATGCGTTTGTGTAAGCGAACCCCTGTGTTCTAGTTCCGTTGTGAGCTGGTAGAAAAGGAGGAACAGGATCACTCACAATATTCCCTGACAGCTCAGCAGGGAATTCAGAACACAGTGCGGTTTGGGCGGGCGGAGCCGGGAAGACAGACGGAAGGCAGCTCCGGCTCTGGGCCTCCGCGGCGGGCGGGGCTGCGGAGACGCTCCGCTCCTGGGCTCCTGGCGAGGAAGCGGCCTCCTGCTGGCAGCGCTGTGTTTATGGCACATCCGTGGCGGGGCCCACAGATCCGCACAGCCTGGCATCACTACACACGGCGCCAGCCCAGAGCCTGGCTGGGCAGCTGCAGCCTGGCCCGTCCTCCCGGGCTGTCAGCTCGCAGCCCCACGGCCAGGGCAGGTGGGGGAGCCAGGCTGAGGTGCGGGCCAGGCTCCACACCCCGAGCGGGACCCCACAGGCCCCCACGGCTCTCCCTGGGCGGGGGGGGGGGGAGGGGGGGAGAGACGGGGACGACGGACACGGCCTCCCCTGCTTGCTAGGGGGCTTCCGAGGGCCATTATGTGGCGTGGGTGGGGCTCACAGGGTGGGAGGGTGGGAGCTGAGAACTTGGGGAGAAAGAGGGACCCGGGTGAGGCCTCGTGTTGCTCTGGGTCCGTCATGAGGGCCCAGGGGACACTAGGCCCCCTAGTTCCTCCTTTGGACCAGCTGAGCTGCTAAGAGCATCCGGTGCAGCTGGGAGGGTGGGGAGGGAAAGCCAGGAGCCCTGCACTCCTTTCCTGGGCGTGGCCAGGGCAAGGTGGGCGGAGCCGGGGTGGGGCGTGGCCAGCGCAGGGTGGGGCATGCCAGGACAGGGTGGGGCGTGGCCATGGCAGGGTGGGGCGGGGCCAGCACAGTGTGGGGCGGGGCCAGTGCAGGGTTCTTGGGGGGCCAGGGCAAGGCAGTGTGAGGAGCCTGAGGCTCCTGGGCGCTCCTCGTGCCTCTGAAAGCTGCTTGGGGAGCAGAGTCCAGGCCTGGCCCAAAGGAAGCGGGACCACAGCTGTGTCCTTCCTGCCAAAGGCTTTGTGGCGGCCCCTCCCAGTGAGAGCCTCGGGGCGGGGATCGTGCTGTCCAGATGGGGCGCTGCCCGCAGGTGGGCAGGGGCGCGCCGCCCCAAAGGCCTGGTGTGAGGGGTTCGTCTGTGGCTGAGCAGAAACTGTACCCAAGCCGCCTGGCAGCCATGGAGAAAGGGAAACAGATCCACAGCCACCGAGTTCACAGGAAACCTGGGCCACCTGACAGATGCCAGCCTGCTGGTCCCCGGCTGGGTCTATCTCTCCCGGGGCCTTAGAGACGGGGAGAACCTGCAGCCTTCCCGCAGCCCCTAGGCCGCCTCCGCCCCTGGCTGCACCCCCGGGCCGTTGTGTTAATCCCGCCTCCCCCTGAGCCCGCCTCCCTGGACCAGGCCCTGCAGGGGCACTGTCCTGGTGCCCACGGGCCTCTGGGGGCTGGAGAGGAACTCTGTGAGGCTGTGTCCACTCCGGTCCGGGTGGCGCCCCCCTCCGTCAGCTCCTCACTGACCACCAGGTTTGCTAGACCGAGGGTCACCATGGGGCCCCTAACACAGGCTGGACTTGCCCCACATCAGGGGGGAGGCCCTGAGGGTGGGCCATTGAACAGCCCCCCTCCCCACCGGAGCCCCAGATTGCGGATCCCAGGGAGGAGCCCAGCAGCCGTGTCCCGGGGTGCCCTCTGCAGGCAGCTTTTGGCAGGGGCTCTGTGCGTTCCCCTCTCACGAGCTGCCGTGCGGGCACTAAGGCTCCCATTTCACAGACGAGAAAAGCAAGCCCCAGACAGGGATGATGGGCAGAGACAGACCCTCCCTCGGTGCCACATGCTGGGCTGTTCTCATCTCTCAACCCTCTGCACGTATCAGGACCAGCCTGGAGGCCGGCATCCCTCAGCTCCGTGGACAGAGAGACCAGCCTGGGGGGCAGCCACTCCAGCCACGAGCCCTGCGCAGGCCGGCTCGCTGCCTGAACCCCGAGACGAGCCGCACAGCCACGAGGCCAGACGCCGCCCCCGGGTCCCTGCCTGGTGTCTCCTCATTGTTTTCCATGTCATGGGCTTCGCGGCCTCCTGTGTGGGCGAGGGGATCGGGCGTTTGTCTCCCTGGCGTCTCCGAGAAGCAGCGCCCCCTTTATCCACCCCCTCCCCGCCCTGGAAGCCGCTGGTGCGGGCAGCCCCGCCCAGGACACAAATGCCAAGCGGTGGAGGTGAACGGTAATTCGGTTACAGCTTCCCAGCGCGTGCTGCCCTGCAAATCGAATTTACGGCCAAATCAGTCCTCTAATTGGTGCACAGAGGCCGTTACTCAGCACCCACTGGGCGGCTCCGCAGGCTCAGGTCAGAGGAGAGACGCGGTGTCAGCTCGCTGCGGGTGCCAGCCATGACCGGGACCGCCGTGGGCCCAGCCGCCCCAGGCACCTCCCGGCCCCGCCGCCCCCGTGGGAGCAGCTGTGGCCGAGGGGGACCTGCAGGCGCAGAGCGGAGGCAGTGACTCAGGTGCCCGCGGTGGGCGGCCTGAGCTGCGGGCGTGGCCCCAGGCCGCCCCCTGGAACCCCTTCTGACCACAGAGAGCGGGCCTCACGGGCCCTCTGCCCCCTGGCATCAGCAGGGCTACCTGGGTGGCTGAGGCTGGGTGCACAGTGTGACGTCATGCCCCGCCCCCAGCCCCATTGGTTGTGAAGCCAAAGCGAGCAGGGTGAGCCTCTGAGCCTCAGTTTCCTCCTCTGGAAAGTGGGCAGAAGCAGCATCTGTGCAGAGGCAGTGTGGGCGCCGGAG